TGTGTGTGTGTGTGTGTGTGTAACGTATGCACGGCCGCAATTTTCGACGGATTGGCACCAAAATGTACATGCACATGTTCCAAGTCAGTGGGAAGGCCAAGACCGAATTTGCATTTCCCAACTTCATATCGATAGTGGAAATAATCGATTTTTTCATGCTTCTACAGCAGTTTTCATATAGTTTGCGATCATTTTCTACTGGCCACAGTGAGATCCTATAACTGGCTGCCACGAATAGGCAGGAAGATTCTATTGGCCAGCGTGAGAGCCAACAGCTGACAGACACGAATCTTAACTAGCATGCTAGCATGTAAAACATCGATAGCTGCATTCGTCAGAAGTGGGAAGAATTTAAATCTGCATGGCACTTTACTCCAATTGGCCCATTCGCTTGCTTAAACTCAACGTTGATTCTGATTCCGCAGAACTGTGTTGTGTGTGAAAAAGTATTTGTTCTTAACATTCTTTTTTCATTCGGTTTTTCCAGTTACGTGTCCTTTTTTTTAAAGCTGATCATTTTGTGTTCATTTTGTTTAGTTCTTTTTTCGTAACAGATTTAATGTTTAGTATAGAGCTTAGAAAAAATTCGCAGTGTGAGCTAGGCAAGAAATATGGCATGTAGCAACATCAGCACGGCAAAGGGCACTCCTTTAAAGGCAAGGGAGGGCAAAAATATTTTAAGTCAAGTGATAGCGATTGCTATATGAGTCGTACCATGTTTGAATCAAACACGGGCAACGCCGGGTCATGCTGCTACTGTTACTACACGTGTCTTAAATATTATTCTGTAATATAGTGAATATCAATAAAATTAAGTACTTTGTACATGAATAAAGTGTTACTTTATTAAAAATTATATTACCGATAGTCCTTAGAGGAAATACATTACAAAATGTCTTACAAAAGGTAGCGACGGAGAGTAAGAAAAAAGGACTAAGCATAATTTACAAGAAGGCAGAATGCATGGTCATCAGTAAGAGGAAGAGATCGAAATTCGATCTGAAAGTCGGAATCACTGGAATCAAGCAGATGGGGAAGTTTAAATATCTGGGAAGCGTCTTGACAGAGTCCGGTAAGTGCGACACCGAGATGCGTAGACGTATTGGGATGGCCAAGGACACATTCCAAAAGCTGGGCAGAGTATTACGAGACAGGAGAATTCATTTGGTACAAAAAGAAAAGAATACTGAGCTGTTGCGTGACATATGTTCTTCTTTACGGCAGAAAATGTTGGACGATTTCCTCAAAGATGAAGAAGAGACTCGAAGCGACAGAGATGTGGTTTTACAGAAGTATGCTGAGAATATCATGGACCGAGCGTGTGAGCAACGATGAGGTCTTAGAGAGGATGCAAACAAGAAGGAGGCTTATAGTTAACATCAGGAAGAGATAGCTAATGTTTCTGGGACACATAATGAGGAAGGAGGGCCAGGAGAATCTGATACTCACGGGTTGAATAAAGGGAAAGAGAGACAAGGGAAAAAACGCGTGACATACCTGGCGGGTTTAAGCAAGTGGATGACCGAACGTGATCTGGGGGAGGAAAGAAACTTGTTGAGAGCTGCAAGAGGTAGATGGAGGTAGAGATCCATGATCGCCTACGTCCTGAAAGGACGTCGCAGATAAAAAGAAAGAAGTCCTTAGAGGAGTATTCCTTAGACAAATATTCTTTAGATGAATGTTCCGTTGATCAATATTTAGACAAACGTTTCTAAATCCAGAAATAACGTGTATACAAGCCATCATATACACATCGAGAACAGGGCTTATTTACTTTCCCTACAGAAATTAAATCATCCTTTTTCGGGCAAAATAGTGGTTTCAGAGACGTAGAAATCTGAATTGTCACATTTCTATTTTTTGACTTGTTGAATCCCTCGAAAAAAAACGCTACGTTTTGTGTAACTAGCATAGTATATTAAAAATAAAATCCCTGAAGGATTAAAAAATCAACGCAAATAAAAATATATTTCCCTTCTAAAATTATTACATACAAATTAACAAAATATACTTTTAGCTCATAGTAACTTCGAGAAGTACTACTAAATTTTTAGACCTATTTTTGAGAATATTACTTTCTGCATATTTCGATAATCATAGTTATCTAGTCATTGGGGAAAAAATTCGTATTTTTCGATACTTATCGATTACTCATTTTCGATTTTGTTCGATTCTGAGCGGTATGAATTCAGTTCTTGTAAATAAATTTTCCCCTTAAATTTTCTTTAACAATTTACAGCATTCTTTTAAAAAAAAAGAATAGAACTTGCAATATCGCCAGCCGAATTTAACTTTTGCTGTATTTCGGCTACTACTACTGCTGATAAACAAGCATATATGCTTTCAACGTAAACTTCATCTTGCTTATCAAAATTCCCAAACAAGAGAAGGGAAAATTCTTTTGCCACATACCTACAAATAAAAACTTGTGTGTGACATTTGGATAGTCAAAATACTGACTATACTTCATTTCTTTCACTCGATAAACTCGTATAAAGAGAAATTTTGTAACGATGCCATTTCTGCAACATTTTAATAAATAAATTTCTTAAATTTGCACAAGTGTTTCATTTTAGTTTTCCTAATTTTTACTCTACAGATCTCTGTATCTTGCCAAAAAACATTTTGATTGAAGAAAAGGCCTACATTGATAATTAGTTGAATTGGCTAGATGCCACCATAGGATTTATACTTATATTTTCTTTTCTCGTACTACACACTTGTGCAATTTTGGTACCCATCGACACACAAGTGGGTTGTGGGTAATACATTCTAATTATGATATCCTTGCCTCTTATAATAAACAATGTTAAATCAAAGTCACTTATACAAAAATTAATTAAGACAGACTTGGGATAACAAGGAAACGGAGCTTGTAAGTCAACTTGTTTTAATAATGTTTCTCTATTTTTTTTCTTTTCTTTCAGACTTATCTCACGCTCCTTTGTTTTCAAGTAAACGCATTCAACGTTACCTTGGATGTATCCTTACGGGAAGAAAAGCCCTCAATCGAATGAATTCTGTTATTCTTCAGACGAAACTGGTTTACTTACCTAAAAAGATAAAAAATGAAAGAAAGTTAGTAAAAAAGTTTTCGTTATTTTCGAATTTATTATACTTGTCTAGCGTTTGCTTCGACTTTGTTATGACCCAAGACATTCATTCTTGGGACTAAACACGTGATTTTAGATTTTATTCTTATATATGCACCGTATCCCCTCTGGACATAAGCGATCGTGGCTTTCCACACTTTCCTGTCCTTTTTAGCTCTTAATAAACTTTCTCCTTACCTTATTTCTCTTAGCGGTTTGATGGGGAAAAAGTTTCTTTAATGAAAATCAGATTAAAGAGTTTGTCGAAAACTTTTTTTCCAACCAAAACGTGCGGACATTTAATCAAAAGACACCGAAGGGACAAGTCGTTCCAAACAATCGTGTGTATATAGTTGAATGAAATATAATTGTTCTTTGTCAATTTTATTCTTAAAAAAAAAAGAAGAATTATTTCTGACTGAGCCTAATAGTTATTAATCAAATTTTCAGTTGTTATCGTAAGCCTTATGGCATTTATGTTTTATAATGGTGATATGCATTATAATGGCAACGTGCAAGATAGTTAAATACATTTGAAATCTCAGTATTTTGATAGAACATTTATAGATTTGGTTCCTTTATTTTAATGATAGAGATTTCATTCATCAAAGGACATTTTTGGCAGTTAAAAGTTTACGTTTATTATCAAGATGCCATTACTTGGATGGTTAGCGTAATGATAGGGGAAGTGGTACTGGCGAAGCAAGTTCAGATCCCGACAAGTTTGTTTCGTTCACTTTCGCATAACTTCTCTTGGGAAAGGAATGACTGTGTATTCTGAGTTGAGGTATAAGTTAAATAGCAAGGTAAACTGGATTTATAAGCTTTGAATGGCAGCCAGTTTGAAAGAAAACAACGGAATAAACTTTATAGAATTCCTTGAACTTGCCTTAAACTATTTAGGTCTTGAATCTTGTTAATTGTTGAGTGCATTACTCCAAACACAGAATTAAAAATATTTTGGAATACTTTTTGCATAAATTCGAAAGTGAGCCTATTTTAGTGTGAGGGAATCCGGAAAGGTTATACAGGAATACCTAGATTAGTGCAGCTAATTTGTACATCGGTAACTATAAAGAAAAGTCCATTTTTAATTACTATGGTTAAACTGAAGAATGTTTTACCGCACTAATCGAGTATCATACATGCACTAATCGGAGTTTGGTATATAAAAATTTTTGCGCACTAATCAAAAGCGCATTAATCGAATGTTCATTAATCGAGTGATGCTTGTATAAACATATTCGTTTACAAAAACCAAAAAAAAGTACATTTTATATATAGATTGTTTCATAGGATAACAATTACAGCATTCTCTTTTTTTGAATTTATATATTCAGAGGCCATTCTCGAAAAAAATATCATTTTTTAAAATAACAAATATATAGGAACGGCCAGTATTTTAGGAGCGAACTTGAAATTCTTCTGAAAGTTTGATTTAAAAAATATGTCTTATATATTTCTATCACACTACACGAAATGTTATTTTGCGATAGATTCGGTTAAAATCTATTAAAATGATCCTTTTACATAAATTTCGTGTGACATTTCTTTGATTAACCAGAAGCTACAGGAGGAATTACAAACGTAGAATAATTTGATTTATTGATGAGAGAGACACACATTAAAAAGAGATGATCGAATACAAAAAAATATTTCAAAGTAAATGTAAAGAAAAGTTTCAGATAGAAATACGATGAAAGGACATGTTTGTAGAAATATTAAACAAAGAGACGCTGAAGATGAGGACAAAATAAGTATACGATAAGAACATTGGCGAGACGGAAATGAATAAAACAAACGAGATGTAAAAAAAAGAACTAAAGAGAAAAAAAAACAATGAAATAATGTTAATTACAGTAACTGAAAAAGACGGAGAGAAAAGGAATCAGAGAATGAAAAGCACTGTTAAAGCAAATGAAAGACGAAGGAAAAAGAAGGGAAAAAGTGGGAAGGAAAACTGAAAGAAAAAGAATAAGGAATAGAGGAAAAACAGAATAAAGAAAGAGAGAAAGTAGAAATAAAGGATGAGAAGAAAAAGAAGACATAAAGAGAAGGAAAAAGAAAGAGATATGAAAAGATAAAAGTAGGAGAAATAATAGGGAGGAAAATAACGAAAAGTACGGAAAAAGAGAAAAGAAAGAAAAAGCAAAGTAGACAAGTGAACGAATAAAAAAAATCAAGGGGAAAAAGAATAATAGAAAAATAAAGAAAAAAAAAATCATATTTGAAGACGGAAAAGAAAAAAGAACCAACAATTAAGGAAAATAAAAACGAAAATAAAAGGAATTTAGAAAACGAAATGAGGCAAGAAAGATAATGATTTTGGTATAAAGAAAAAAAAAGAAACGGAACGAGAGAGGTACTTTCATAAAAAGATGTGAAAAAGAAAGAAGGTGATTTTGTTATATAGGAATGAAGTGTCACTGCCAACACTGGAGTTTGAACACAGATCACCAGAGAGCAAACACAAGCGATCCCATTTTGATTAAGTAGATCACGTGATGGTAAAGGGAATTTATATATGGGAATTAGCGTGGTGTCTAATTACAGATTACTTCGGACGTGTTCTGGTCGAACTCTCTACCACAAGGAAGAGAGGATCCCCAGACGAGTCTATGGCGAATGGCAGAGTCTCGTTTCAGGAGACAGCTACCCTATCTCATTTTTTACGGGATCTACGGGGAATTTTTGACCCAGCATACGGGCTCGAATATCCCACGGATAACTTGGCCTTCTGCTGCATCCGACCATGTGGGGCATATATAGTGTGAATATCACACTATACGGATTACTTAGGAAGTGTGCTTGTCAAACTCACTACCTTCAGGAAGAGAGGAATCCAGACGAGGCTGTGCAGAAGGGCAGAGTCTCGTCTGGGGTGGTAGACAGCTACCCGACCCCGTTTTGTTTACGGGGTCTACGCGGAAGTTTTGACTGAGCATACGGGCTCGGATACCCCCTATAAACTTGACCTTGTGCCGCATCCGACCACGTTGAGCGGTTAGTGAATATCACCCTATATGGATCGCTATTCGGTGATTACATAAGCGTGTATTATCGAGTGTGAATGTTATTCGAAGGCGTCTGACAGCAGCATTGTTTAACGGCATAACTATAATTGTATCTACGATTACAAAGTCTGTACTACAGCGACCCTTACGAAAGTGACAACGAGTATTCGCTGACATTACAAAAGTGGCTACGAGTGTTCGTTGACATCATAAAAGATTTTGATAAAGAGAAAGATAGAGGGATTTTGATGAAATGGAAACTGAAAAGCAAGAGTGACGGATGATAAGAAGAGAAAAAGAAAGTGACTTTAGTGTAAATGAGAGAGAAAGAGCGAATAACTTTGATGAAAAGAAGACAGGGAATGGAATATGATTAAACGAAGGGTAAAGAACTTAGGAAGCACGGTGGAGTAATGGATAGCGGCTTGGATTGAGGAATCGGAGAGCCGAGTTCAAATTCCAGTCGAATCCATTACATTCCCTTACGTGCTAATACACTTAGGAAAGGTGTGAATCCTCTTCTTCTCCCTCCAGCTATGGGTAAATATCAGTATAGCCCGGGTTCTATAGCCTTGGATGGCAATTGGTCTAGGAGAAGGAAAACTCTGAATTCAAAACCTGCAGAGGGTCGTTTGGGGACCTTGTGGCAGTTAGTGCACCAGGTTTCTGTAATCGGCCCTTCAAAAAGTGTGGATGGTCCTGCACGAAACCTTCACCACTATAATCAAATCTTATCTGCTATACATGCGGGTTGGGGACCCCTTGTGAATTTCAAATTCCCATGCTCAACCCACCTCGGGTGAATGCTTTACAGGAACAGGAGGGGAAAGAACTTAAAAAATCAACAAAAGTTTATTTTTCTTGTCAGCCTCAACAGAAGCAAATAGTTTTAAAAAATAATTTTGAAGGCTCTTATTTTCTCAAAGAACAAATAAAATAGTGTTTTGTGACCTTAACGGAAATATCTTCTGATACAATCAGTATTTCTTGTCTCGTACCGTCAGTCCTGCAGCATTTAAACGTCATGCAAAAGAGAAACCTGTAAACATCTTTCATTCCTTTTCTTTCTTTTTGGAAGACGGCCGGATATTAAAGTAACGTAAACTGCCTCTCTTACATCATACGTGGCTCATAAGATTGTCTATGGGAAACCGAATTATCCCCGTGCAAGAAAATCAATCAACCTGAAACATAACAACTGAATAAATGTTTTTGAAAGAACATAGTGCAAGTCAAGAAACATTGCCTCTTTCTTCATAAAAAATAAATGAGGCGTTAAATTTTGTATAAAATCGAATGTCTAATTTAATATTCCCACTCTGACCTAGGATAGATGTTACACTTGCATAAATATTTAATGCATTAAATACAGGTATATATCGGCACAAGGACTCAAATGAATTGAGGAGCAAAGGTCGTTTCAAGAGCAAGCCCCACACATAATTACGACTTTCTCTTTTCAATTCTGTATCTCTTCAGGATGTAGGCGATCATGGCTCTCTATAATTTTCTGTCTTTTGTATCTTTATTAAACCATGTTCAGTCATCCATTCACTCAAGCACACCAAGTACGTTATGCATTACTTTTCCCTATTCTTCTTGCCTTCAAACTGTCTTGAGCATAGCAAATTCTCCAAGCCCTCTTTTCGAAGATATTTCAAATGTCCTTTGCCGAAGATATTTCATCTGTCCTTTGCCGAAGATATTTCAACTGTCCTTTTCTGATGTTAAGTATAAGTTTCCATTCGGTTTCCATTTTCTCCTCATTGCTTACATGTTCGGGCCATGGTATTCTCATTATCCTTGTCTAGAACAAAATTTCTACTTTAAGCCGCTTTTTCATCTGTGAGGAGACTGTCCAGAATTTACTACTATATCGAAGGCCTGGTATTACGTAACAGTTCAATACTCTATTTTCATTTCTAACGAAATTTGTCGGTTTCTTAATATGCTTAGCTTATTAGAGCTCGACATTGCCTAAGCACAATCCACATTCCCTTCTTTGGGGAGGCTTTAGGCGATAGTAAATATGTCTAAAAAGGGATAGGTGCTGCTTTGAGGAGAACGGCATTGTATTTAAGTGTATTGTGCCACATTTAATCTTGATGTGGTTCTGGCAGAAAATGCTATACAAATAACTAGAATTTTCATGAAAATACTAAATGCAAGCAATATTATGGAACAGGTGTAGTGTATAATATACGTTAGCAATTACTTTATTTATGGTCATAGGAAAACTTGGAATATTTTTCGGGTTGTAACATAGAATGGATTCCACAATGCAGAAGTCCAATTATGGAAATGGTGCCATTAAAATGTGCAAACGGTTTTCCTACTTTGCTTAATAAGTAACTAGCAGTTTCTTCTATTGCGACAGCGTTTTTGAAGAAATTCAGGGTTTCAGCTCTGGTAGTGCTCAAGAAAAATGTCCGCTAATTGGGGATCCAGTGATAGCGAAAAGGAACGTAATTTAGATGAAAGGAAAAAGGAAAGAGAGAGAGTAATTTTGATTAAAAGAACAGAGAAGGTTAAGAAAAACAAGGAGTGATTTTAATGAAATGAAGAGAACAAGTCAAAGTGAGATTGTTATTGATGAAAGGAATAAATATACAGAGAGAGAGAGAGAGAGAGAGTGAGAGATTTTGATGAAACGCAAAGAACAAGTGAAAGAGAGAATAATATTGATGAAAGGAATAAAGATACAGAGAGAGAGAGAGAGAGAGGGAGATAAATTTTGATGAAACGCAGAGAACAAGTGAAAGAGGGTGATTTCGATGAAAGGAATAAATAGCGAGAGAGAGAGAGAGAGTGAGAGAGAGAGAGAGTGAAATTTTAATGAAACGAAGAGAATAATTGAAAATGATAATAATATTGATGAAAATAATGATACAGAGAAAGAGGGGTGATTTTGATGAACAGAAATTAGGAAGAGAAAGAGGGTGATTTTGATGAAAGAAATAAATAGAGAGTGAGAGAGATTTTGATGAAATGAAGAAAATAAATGAGAAAAAATAATATTGATGAAAGAGAGAGAGAGAGAGAGAGAGAGAGAGAGATTTTGATGAAACGAAGAAATGACTGGAAGTTTCGCCTATTAATTTACTCTATTTGTAGATGATGGCGTTGATATATAAATGTTCACAGAAACATATGAGGTGTGCTGGGAAATTCAGTGTTTTTCCCTTTGACAAAAGTGTAATTCAAAAGATTACACTAACTTACGGTAATAAAGACTGGGAACAGCTTGCTTGGGTGTGAGGAACAAGGAATCTTATATATATAATATATATATTAATGGAGAGAGAGAGAGAGAGAGATTAAAGTCAATACCCAGAAAGGTGACAGTCTGTTTCATGCTTAAATGCAATCGAGGGCCTTAATGATTGCGTTTACGTCTCTACATATACAATCACAGGAGGGGTAAGAAGCGGATTCACACCTTTCCCCTCCAACTATGGGAAAATAGCAGGACAGACTGGGTTCTATAGCCTTGGATGGCAACTGGTATAGGGGAAGGACAACTCTGAATTCAAAACCTGCGGAGGGTCGTTTGGGGACCTTGTGGCACGTAGTGCACCAGGTCTCTGTATTCGTCCCTTCAAAAAGTGTGGATGGTCCTGCACGAAACCTTCACCACTATAAGCAAATCTCATGTGCTGTTCTCGGGTTGTCAGTTTCCTTGGAACTGATCTGCTTGACCCTCATATACGGGAGAGTTGAATATATATATATATATATATATATATATATGATGAGACAAGTTCAATAACTAATTACATAAGTACTACAAACGATTGGCACTCGAAGTACCACTGAGATATTTATAAAAAATATATAGAAAGACAATAATATAAACTAATATGTAACAATACATAATGATTATATGATTAAACATAGATATAAAAATAAAAAAAAAATATAAGCACGAATATGAAGCAAGATAAATATATAAGTACAAACACAAAATGCCAAATAGGTATATATAAAAAATACATCTAATATTCTATGTAAGCAATAATACAATATGTCACTATCGAACAGAAATCGATAAAGCGTAAAATATTATTACTTTCTAAAAAGTTATATTTTTTTATATCTGTGTGTCTTTCGAGGTCTGGATACAGGAAATGCTGTTTTTTTTTAATTTGCTCCAAGCACACATTTATCCGCTCCAAATCTCACCTGAAAATAATATTATAATAAGGATACATCTGCTGTCTGAACCTCACAAAATGTCTGATAATCGTTTGAGGCGTCAAACTGAGAGTCGCCATGCAATGTTGACTTCTATGTTCACAATGTCTATATCTACAGACATATTTCCGATATTGGGCTTTCTCCCCCTCCCCAATAATTAGAGCTTATTTTACATTATATACTTCTTTAAATATTTTTTTTTTAAATCCAATTTTATATCTTATTATTATGAACGTTCTTTTTTAGTGGGTAGACATGTTTGAGTTGACATCGTTATTTCTCATCTCATACTGTGAAATTAATGTCAACAGGCATAGATCGAGAAATTCCAATGTCTCCTCTGTCACTGTGGAGACAAAGATTTTTCTATCGTGGGATTTCTCGATCTAGGCCGGTTGACATTAATTTCCTTGTTTTTAAAAATAATAACACGTGTCAATTCATCAACGTACACACACATTTATATATATATATATATATATATATATATATATGCGAGAGAGAGAATGATGAAAAGTTCTTGAACCAACCAAAAAGTACATCACTTTGTTGGAGCATTTGTTCAGATTTTAAGGAATCGTCATCTGTTACTGCCGCTTTAATAGTGTTGCATCCTGCACAGATTTTGGCAGAATATCGCATCAAATCCATATCTATCGGACTCCATTATTAGGCTCCCTGCGACGGTGAACGAGATAAATGCAAACGCGTAGAGCCAGTATATAGAGATCCAGAAAGTAAACTTTGCAGATTACATTGAAATGTAGAAGGGACCCTGGGGTCAGCGTGTCAAATCAAGAGTAAAATAACTGAAGACGAAAATACCATTAACTTCGGTAGGCTATTTCATTTTTGTAACCATAAAATGTTGATACTTTTCAGAAAGACTTCATATACAAGAAAGATAGAGAGAGATAGAAATATAGAACGATAGAGAGATGTAGCATGGTAGATAGGTGGAGGGAGGAAGAGATAGAGAGAAAAACAAATAGTGAGAAAGATAGATAAAGAGAAGATATATAGAAATATATGCATCATAGTTGGCTTTAAAACATTAATTAAAAGTGCTACATAACAAAACTTAATTTATTTGTTATACATTAATCTATCGAACTAATTTACTCTCTTGGTTGCTATCGTCCTTAGACCGTAACAATCAAGTCAAGGATATTATTTTGAAAGGTTTAAAATATAATAAGGCCAATTTCTCATTTCATAAATTCAAAGATTATTTAAAATATAAAGATTGTTTTCCTCACGGAATCTCTCCGTGTCAGTCATCAGAAAATATATTTGCAAAGTTTGATTTAATTATACCAAAACTGGAGCACCTAATGAAGACTGAACCCACACACTAATACCAATGATTTACAAAAACAGTTTGCTGACCATGACAATAACGATGTAACCTGAGCAAAGACATAATCAAGTTTTGTATAACATCTGTTTGATTCATGAATCCACTTGAGAATGAGTTTTGTGTTACATAAACAGTAAACACTTCAGTTTGTAACATGCCACCGGCTGTTTAAAGATTAAAAGAACCTAACTCAATTCTCAGCTCAGAATGTGTAAAGATAATGCAATATATGAGAAAGTGGGAAAAAAAAAGTTTTCTTCTGACACGTTTCGTCCTTTCGAATTTCATCACGCGTCACAAGAAAAAAAATTCCACAGTGCCATATATTTTACACAAATAATTTTCTTGATATATAAAAATACATACCGTCATCTCATTTTGAAATATATCAAAGCAAGATTACTGAAATATTTCAGCTCGGACCCACCCTGACGTATGCAAATGTGACATTTTACGTGATTCTAATTTAATTTCGAATTAATTCGAACAGCTCCCACTTACGTACTGAACAAAGTATTCCCCTGTTTACATCTAAAACTAAATAATATAATTGCCGAACCAATGAAACTCAAGCGATGAGAAACAGCTGAAGAGAAATGGCAAAACTTAAAAGATAACGCCTTTTCTAGAAAGGGCAACAATGCAGTAAATCTCTAATGTATTTTAAATTAAGTATTTGACCACCTCGGTGTTGATTATTTTGAAATCATACGATAATAGTTTTATCATTTACGACAGATATGTAAAAAAAAAAAAATAAAATGAAAGGAGTAGACAACATCCAGTTCCCAAATATTAGCCCCAGAGAATTTTTTTTACATTGCTTTTAGATTCAGGAGTACGATAAACTGTCTCAAAAGACCTTTTTTTGTTTCGCTGGTAATTTCAACCGATTCGTAAGGATTTTGGCTGTTTTCGATCCAAGGTCACTGAAGATAAATAAGTAAAATGAATTGAATCATTTAGTGTCGTAAAACCTTTCGAAGTATCAAAGATCAACGAGGCCGTTGAAATGGGCGGGTTTCTTGTTTCCATTCCTCTTAACGGCAATGAAATATCCAGAAAGAAGCCCTTTTACTCTCTGCTTTTACGACAGGAAAGAGTTTTCTAGTCAATGAGACAAGCGAGAAGAGACACATAATGGGTGCCCAGCAATACTTGGTAACTGCAAAGGCCTCATGAAATGGCACTAACACAAAATATACAAACATATATGTATATGATAAATTGTTAGAAATATATATATAGGCACGGTGGAGTAATGGATAGCGGCTTGGATTGAGGAATCGCAGAGCCGAATTCCAGTCGAATCCATTACGTGCTAATGCCCTTGGGAAAGGTATGAATCCTCTTCTCCTTCCGCCTCTGGGTAAATAGCAGAGCAGACTGGGTTCTATAGCCTTGGATGGCAACTGGTCTAGGAGAAGGACAACTCTGAATTCAAAACCTACGGAGGGTCGTTTGGGGACATTGTGGCACTTAGTGCACCAGGTCTCTGAATTCAGACCTTCAAAAAGTGTTGCTGGTCCGGCACGAAACCTTCACCACTATAATCAAATCTCTTGTGCTGTTGTCGGGCTGTCGGTTTCCTGGGAACTGATCTGCTTGACACACACACACATATATATATATATATATATATATGTGTGTGTGTGTGTGTGTGTAAAAAAATACTTGAATCCATTACAAAGCTAGTATTTGTGCATACGTCGATTGACTATCGGTTCTAGTTGGACCCATGCAAAATACACGGATTTACTAATAAATCTTTTAATGCTGCACCCATATTTTTCAGTTCCTGACTATTACAAGATAACTATAAGAAATGTGAGTGATTTTTTTAAAGATTGAAATGTCCTCAACAGTTGTTAGGCCAGGAGGCATGATTTAACCTTTCACCATCAAACAACTGCCTTTATCTAAGATGATCCTTCTAATCTCTGTCGGCGTCGAACTATGTTTTTGTCTCTCTACGTCTTTTCCGCTCTAACGTTAAAACAGACTGGGTTTAATAAGACTTTTGTTTAGATGAACATCATAATTTTAAAAGGTCACTTGGAGTTCAGGAGAGAATTGCTCCTCAATAAATCGTTATATCGGGAAAACTGGTTTAGTTCCTCATACAAACAACTCCTTTATATAACGATGAAACCGCTCTAATCTCTTGGTTACATTCTATTCATTTGCTCTGTAAGTCCATCTCTCTCTCTCTCTTACATTCTATGTCACTCTCACTTTCTGTTTCACTCTCAATATCTGTGATACAAAGTGTGACATAAACTATACATATGTACAAGCGTATTAATATACAGATTTGGTGAAGTGGTTTTTTATGCAAACAAAATTTATTTCATTGTCTCATTAACATGGAGTTCTAGAGGCAGAATATTTACAATTATACGAACATTTCTTCTGATGGAAGAGCAACACACATTTTGTAAATGCTATCCAGAATGAATTCGTTCAGGAAACAATGGACGTTTTCCAGTTCCGGGAAACACGATAAAAAATATCGTACCAA